CCCCACCCAATGGGGATGTAAAGTGTAGGGATGAGGAAGTTACAGTCAGGTTCCTCGAGTAGGTGAGGAAATGGCTACTTTTCTTAAGCATTGATTTTAATATTTCGAATGTGCAACCTCGGTAGAGACTGCTTGCCTCAACAATCTTTCACCATATTATGTTGTTTCTAGATTCGAATAAAAATTTACCATGGCAATGAAATCTAATCGATTGATCTAACCGCACCTCAATAGGTTATACGAGATTGAACTTTGATAAGTTCTTAAAGAAGTCACTTTATAATGTTGGTCAAGAGTGAAACGAGCTCTTTGGTTTGTCTCTAATTAATCAATCTATCTCATCGTCACTTCAGTGGATATTTGTTACGTTAATAAGACCTTTTTTACCAAAAAGAACCTCCTTATAACTAAGCATACCTTCTTTTGATTGACGGAGCTCCACACTTACTTTCCCGAAAGTATGGCTAAACCCTCAGGAGGTTCTATACAGGATATTTAAGTATTTATTAGAAGGAAGCATTTTCTAAATATTTACTACTTCTCTGAGTATGAAAATAGCTTTCTAAAATCAAGCTAATTTCGTTTTTAACGGTTCTATTTGAATGGTCAGCTACACTTTTATGCATACCCAACAATAGAGCATCGACTTTGAAGACGTATGTGATAACTGCTATGCCATCGGGTACAGACATCGTCAATTATAAGGCATTTATCTCGATTTCTTAACCTCCTTCCCGTTAGTTTCTGAGATAAATCAGAAATTGTCTCTTCTTGTTATTCTACGCTATTGAATGAGCATACTATCTCAAATTAAATTAATCAAATAAACCGATGCGAATTTGTCCTTACCATTCGACTAATATGACCAATTTTTGCATTTGCTTTTCAGGAAACCTGCCCGACTATAAATGAGGAGCTAGTTTCCACATTGAACGGCCAGCTCCAATGCTGCAAGAAGTGTCCTGCTGGTGAAGGAATGCTTCAACTCTGCACCAATACAACTCAAACAGTCTGCCGGCCATGCCAAGAAGGCTCCGAATTCGCCGTGGAAGCTTCAGCAACTGCCAAATGTATGCAATGTAAACAGTGTCAAGAAGTAAGCACTCCGAACCAATTAAAATCGATCATTCAATTAGCCTTCCCCCAAACAACTGAAACGTTGCGTGAGGACAAAATTATTAGCAAACAGAATTCTTACGGCTAAATTTTTATTTTTAAGATGAATTTTGTAGCCAGGAAATCAAATCGCAATAACTCTCCCCTCCCCACTCCTTCCTCTTCTTGCAGGTGCTTGAAGCTTTTATTTACTAGGCTTTAAATTTTCTGCTGTAGATCATAAATTTTATTCCACTTTTATTATGCACATTCACTTTTAGCGCGCTTGAAATAAAAAGAACATACTTGCTCGAGTATTTTATAAAATAAATTACTCTTCAATTCCTTGCCAAAATGCAATATGGCATATTCCATTCGCATCGCCTCATATCCTCTGTCCTTCGGCATATGCCACAGTGAAATAGAGTTAAGCAATTGCAGCAACAGTTTATTCATTTCTCTTTTGAAAAAGTTTGAACTCAGTAATGGAACCAAAATTGCACATAAGTACTCATTTAGGTATAGGAATTTGAAAGGTAATGGAGGAATCACTCTGTATGTTTGGCAATTAGGAAATAACACATATAGTGAAATTAATTCGAGGAATAATGAATACTTACTTTCGTCTTGCTGAAAATATAATGGCTATGTTTCTTTAAACTAAACAATAGCTAATTTTAACACTTAGGGTATGAATATTTTTCGCATTAAAATTTAATTGCTAGAAAAAATATAATTTATTCATTTCGCTCCACTTCTCTCAATTAAATTATATTTCCAACTTTAATAATTAAATGAGAAGGATTTTTTGAATTTCTTAAAGATAAGCTTCAAAGCAGTTTATCCATTCCTTTTACTTATCTTTTCAAATTGGAGCGAATTTTGAATCGTATGTTCACCTTTCAAGATTAATTATAATGTAGACAAAGTTTAAAAGACGCTTTAAAATAAACACGTGAGGCGCTAAAATAACTAACTGTCTTTCATTCTGAATAACCAAACGCATTTTTATGAAGAACACATATAATCGAGTCATAACTACTGGAGATAACTATAATGACACGATTTAGTCAAATGTTTCATTACTATGTCTGATTTTAGTTGCACCCATTCGCCAAATTTCGGAAACACTGTACCCCAACTTCTGACGCGGTGTGTGAATGCGTCGCTGGTTACTTCTTCATCGAGGTCCATTCCACATGCCAGGGCTGCACCAAATGTCCGCCAGGCTACGGAGCTGAAAAGTGTGTTAAATAACTTCTACTGATTACAATTTTAGTAGACGGTAATTTCATTCTTGAATTTTTCCGCTATAGACCATGTAGTTGGAATGAAGACAGTATATGCAAACCGTGCCCAGAAGGCACCTGGTCATCTACAGAATCAGCAACACAGAAATGCCTGACATGTAGAAAGTGCAAGCCTGGACAGATTGAAATGAGACCATGCACAGCTACTCAAAATACTCTCTGCTGTCCGCTTTACAACCCCAACTGTGATGAAAATTATGTTGAAGATGAATTCGATGGTAAGTTGAGATGTCCTGAAATATAGAAGTCTTGGGTTTGTAATGATGCAAAGTCAGGTTTTTATCAGGAAATTGAAAAAAGTAAGAACATATTAACATTTCTGAAAGGTGATGAATCTAAAATTTATTACCAGATCATTCAAGATTGATTAATTTCGTTCAGTTAATCAATATCACAATATCAAGTTCATTTCGGATCTACTAGCTTCATATGCTTACCATGACGATGCCGATTTCTTAGAATTGAGTTGCTTTTAAAACAGTTTACACAGAGTGTTATTTTAGCCCTGGGAGATCGACTTTGTTGTCACATGACTGGCCTTCACTAATTCGGATTTCAGGTTGAGCTTTGTATGTTTTACGCATTTGTCAAGTGCTGACCTGATTTGGCAGTTGGCTAATTTTCTATTTTAGTCCTATCAATCTTGATATATTTATCTTATATTTAGTTAAGTATATCCCTCTATTAACATATCTTTGCAACTAAATGACGTCGTTCTTTTCCATTCTTTTGAAACATGTTTCATGTTAAATCTTTAGCTCAAAAGTTACAAGCAATCTGATATAATTAAATGTGAATAATCGGGAATAAGTTGAGATTAATCATTTTTTCATACGCATTAAAGTAAATTGAGTAAGTTTACTTCAAAATAAAGCGGAGGTGAAAAATCATACCTCTTATGAATGAATTTCTTGAATTTTACTTACACCTCCTTTAGAGCAGCTTTGTAAAGTTCTACACAATTCACTCCTTCAAAATAGGTACAATGTCTGATTTGTATCCATATCATTCATGAAGTATTTATTTACTGCGATGTCTTCAAGGTTGGTATAATCTTACAATGGATAGTCTCAATGTTTCCACTTGTCTAAGCGTCTGCCTGGCATGTCTAAGTATCTGTCATTGCTGTGTGTATTCATGGTTGGCCCTTGAGCTCTGAGTGGGTGTGTAATAAAACGTATTGCAAATGTGTTTGGGCGATGGGAAGGCATGACTACTGAGAAAGAGTTAGAAAGTATCGAGGGGGGGAGGGGGTGGGGAAGGGGGGAGAATGGGGTGGAAGTTTGCGACTTTGATCTTTCCGCCAAACACGCTGTGTTGCCGCTGTCTCTGTTGCTATTCCAGCAGCGTTGTGGTCCCCCTCCCCCTCAACGAAAGCATTCTGTGGTCCGCACTGGATATTTGACGATTCGTGTTTGTGTATACTTATACGCACAACACCTGGACGAAATGGATACAGCCAGAAGCACTTCTGTTATCGGTCTCCTACTTTGTGTCATCACTCATCTTTACTGCTTTTATACCGTCATTCTTCGTCAACCCCGAGTTCTAATACATAGGTTTTAGCAGTTATTGAATTAGCGATATTTCAGAAATCATTACGAAGAATGCATTACCTACACAAATTCAGATTTCATATTTGAGCTCCTTCATATTTATTCTTCGGCTAAATCACTAATAAAATGTGAACAAAAGTAAGTCTCTATTTGATCAAAGTGCCTCATATCTGGAGCATTTAATTGGAGAAATCAATGGTGATCATTTATTGGATGACACGCTCAATTCTCAGGGTACTAGAAACCTGATTCGCACAAATTTAAAAGTCGACGAGTGTTCGCATTGAATGTGAGGAGAGTGATCAATTACCAACATGTACGTGTGTGTTGAATGCATTTAACTTGGTCTGATTGAAAACCAAGCCAGCATAAATCATGCTTCGCTCGTGTCTCCACCCCCCACCCCCACCCCCTCTACCCCCTAATCCCCCTCCCCGCTGAACAAAGTCCAACCGCCCGCGTTCCCAGTCCCTTTCTCATAACACAAGCAGCAGAAACATGATTTATCAGTAGTGACCCTCTTTCTGGGTCAGGGTATTCTGAATTGTCGCACCACATTGAATTCAAGAGCAACGCATTTTGAGTGATGGCACTAGTCCTCCTTGTATTTTACCGACTCTAAGCCCTGTATTCTCTATTATTCAACCAACACGCTGCAATTACGATAACACTTGATGTGGAATTACCGTTTGTAGTCGCTTTGTAGTGTTTTTATTTAAGAAACCAGATAGGTAGGTTTATTTCAATTTTTAGACGTATAGCGCGGAAACAGGGCCTGATGGACTAAATTCTCACATCCGATCACCCAAATATGTGTATCCTAGCAAACGTCTAGACAAAATAGCATAACAATTAGTACGCCAGTCAGTCTAAGTAGTGGGAAATTGGCCATTCGAGTGCCTTCAAGGGAGAGAGAGATAGATTTTCTCATATATTTGCCAGCCAAAGTCATCACCGAAATTTCTGCCAACCGTCTGATGTCAATTAGCGTCACAATCTAAGGAGGGAATAGTAATTAAGGCCAAAAGAACGACTCGAACTTTTAAGTTAATTACCACACATTTTGTAGATATTTGAATTGTCGGTTCGTCTCCGACTAAAATCTGTGGCCTTTCCATCTGTCTGATTAAGTATCTACCGAAATGGTGAACACATTTTTGAAAAATTTACAACTTAAAATCATGTAGCAGACTACAAAAGCGGATTTTCATCCACTAAAATGGATTTGGATTACTTATCCAGTTCAGTAGAACATAAGATGCATTTCAATGTTAGCGTTCAATTTGATTAGTAGTGAAAGAAAGTGCGCATTTGTGGCTCCACTTGAGTGGCACTTGAATAATCTTAAAATTTGCTGAGATGTCAGAAGGAAAGATTAGCTCTCTACAATCATGCAGTAAAGTTAATTTAATTTATACTTAAAGCAAAATTTAGCACTTGGTAGTTATGATGGACTTAAGCTTTTGTCATAGTAGTTAATTGTTATCGATTTTCTTAAACAAAAATATTTCAATTGGCTCTTTGTGAACGACCTAAGAAGCAATATGAAATAAAATAAAAATTGATATTGAAATCAGACTTTATTTAACGATAAACTATCTGTGAAGAGATTGTAATCACATGACGGAAATCGATACACAAATAATTGAAATTAGAATCCCATTCGCCGAAGTGCAAACCATTATCGGCTTTCTGTTACTGGCTTGTGATTCAACAGACTACACAGGAGCTCATTTATGGCAAATGAGAATTTTTTATATTGTGTTCGAATAAACATCAATATGATGAGCTCACGGTTTCTTTAAAGTGAAAGTGATTGGAAATCTAAATACAGAAAATAAGCTTAGTCTGTTGTTATGCTTAGGTCTATATAAGCCTGGAAATTTTAAAATTCTTGCATAGAGTTTCAAGCGGGTCGATTATAGCCACCAGTCAGTAGTCATAAATTCGCAACCACTAGGACTTCAAACAGACGCGGCCACCACAAAGAGATTTAGCCGGCGCGCGCACTGTAGAAGCTCTCTAGCGCGAGCGTAGGCGCATCATCAAAGGGTATTAACAACAACCATGGCTAAAGCGCAAGAGCGCTGACTGGCTGTCCCCTATTGGACCAATCAGAGCGCGTGCACACAGTTAGTTGTTGAGACTTAAGGCACCGGCGGCAATGTCATTCCTGTTGTGTGTCATTTTGGTTTGAGAGATGCCACCAGCTACAGGCCCGCACCAACGACAGGAGCAAGGTTTATTTCAAATGCAAGTTGAGATTGACGCATCGGAGTCCACCAAGGCACCCACGTCTGATTGGGTCTCATTCTCTGAAACGGGCATCAACCATGATCTTAGTAGAACTCTCAACTCCATGAAAATACAGACCGCCTTTCGAGTTGACGGTAAGTGATCTGCAAGCACATGACGAGCTCACGCGAAAATATTTCAATGCCACAGAACCTTTGTTCCATTTTCATTCATTTATATATTTGTGTAGCTAGTGTTTTTTTGGCTAAAAAACGAGAGAAAGGCGTCTAGACATTTTTACCAAAATACTGTGTTATCAATTTCATCTCTTATTTATTCTTTTTTGCACTCTCTCTTTGGTACCATTTTAAAGGCAACTCAATTGCACCCACTTTGTTTGAGGTTTTAATAATGTTTTCCCCGCCGAAATTTACTTCAATTAGTTCGATATTTTTTCATTCTTTTAAATCACCTGTTTTCAGAGAAATATTGAAAAATATTCTTTGTAATTTAATTTTTTCTGTTTATTGGATTCGTTGGTCCTATAGCGGTATTTAATGCATTACTGATAATTTGGGTTATAACCAGAGGTTCTGGGTTCGATATCTTTCAATGAAGGAAATTCGATGTGGAACTCGATAAGTCTTTTTATCAACAGAAGTGTGTTGAGTATGAATACAATGAGGGATTTTCGAATTTTATTTCACGCAGTTTTTGTCAAAACGAATCCTTACTATTGTCGGAATTGGGTAGATGAGAATAAAAATTGAAATTCGATATAACATTTTTCTTTTATGATCTATAGATCCTGAGTCCCAAATGAATTAATGGCCCCAAAATCTTGAATGTGCAGAGCAGTTAATTGAAACTAATCTTTGGTCATGTGATTTCAGCGTCTTCTATTGATTTTCGATAATGTGAACATTTTACGATTTTCCAGCCTATTATATGCTTATTAATATGACCATAACCACAAAGTCAGCAGCAAATGCATTGTTTGTTGTGTTTTCCCAGGTGCATATTTGTGTGGGAGGGTGTGGTGAATCTGATTGATGTTTAGCGCAATCGAGTTCAAAAATACACAAACAACCACACCAACCCAATCATAGTAAGAACACAGCCACGAAAACCACGTCTCTCGCACCTCCAAATACGGGTCTGGGTATTTGTGGTGCTGATTTGAAAGGAATTTCTTTTCGCCTAAATTTTGGACAATCCGTGCACACGTATAAAGGAGGGAAGTTCGAAGGCGTTCCTTTGAATTGAGCGCATGCCCTACATTCAGAGGTTTTGTTTATCATTCCGCCTACTACTGAAGCAAATGTTCCTCTCAATTATACGTGTCTCAAAAATTAGGCCACCTTGAGAGAGTGAGCACTAATTGAAACGCCACTCCACCGCAAAAATTAAGGCAGAGAAGAGGGAGAGATTCGATTTCAAATAGTTTAGACTGGAGCCGGTTTCAGTGAGAAGAGCTTCCTCATCTCTTATGATTTTCCCATCTTATTTTATCAGAGCGCGGAAACAAATATTCCCTTTGCCTTTGATAAGAACAATAGACAACCTCCCAACCTCCCACTCTACTTGAACACCAAGCTGCCACACTTTCTGTTGTCAAGTCATTCCGAATGAGTCATTATTTGGTTGGAGATAGGTACACTCGTCCTGAATGACTATAATTAACATCGATTGGTGGGAGATATAGATCGATACTCCATTTATTTGTTGATCGCATTTAGAGTGATCAAAATGTTTGAGCTTTTCTAAGTAAATAGCTTGATAAGATTTAGTTGTTTTATGTTCTCATTCGTTCTGTCCTTATTAATTTGCCTTCAATCTAATTTCGAGAGCGACAAACTCAGACATGATATGATTGAATCTTCAAGGTTACTGCGCATTAAGCGCTATGTCTGAAATTACTACCATATTCGTCGTTCGATCTTATTTCTAATCTGAGGACAGAACCGTAAAAAACTGATTTCTTATCTAACAAGGTTCCGTCTTCCCATTGGCAGCCACACTCAAAGTCATATGAGTGTGAAAGAAATGGTTAATAAGGAATGTGGGCGCAGTGAAATCAACTGACCAAGGTTTGCAATATAGCGGCGTCGAGTATGTACGTGTGTATGTACGTGTGAAGTGATAGCTTGCTTAATCTCGCTTTGCTAGCGATAAGCTCACACTCGCGTTTGTTTGAAGTCACCGATCGTTCTCGTACACGTCAATGCAAACAAACGACCTAGCAAGTGAATGCGTAGTTTATTTGTGTGAAATGAAAATGAAAGATAACCAAGCCAGACACTATGAAAATTCGATTCTAGGCCGAGGAAGCTTTCATTATGTCTCTGGTTTTGCCTTTTTCAAGAAAGAAAAAAATGGATATAATGCAATAGAGCAGGTGGAATTTCAGTCAAATGGATCAAAATTAAATTATTTTTCGGTATTTTTTTATCCATTTTTGAGTTAGAGATCTTTTAATATAAAGCTCTAAAGTGGGATCGTTAATTACGAAACTAGTCAGAGGCAAAATCGATATTTTATCGATTTAATCTCACTGGCATAATTGTATGCTAATTCAAAGATTTCTTGGGCATCTAATTGAAATTTTAGTTAGCAACGAACCCTGCTGATTTTTCGAATAGATCTTAGACAAGGTGGAATATAGATAATTTTAACAACAATATTTAGTCAATTTTTCTATTCTTCCAGATTCAAAGTCCTTGACAGGTGTTGGCCAATTACCCGAGAATTCATTCCCCCCACAATTTACCTATGGCGATGATTACCCAATGATCACTATCTACTGCTCCCTGTTAGGATTAGTTATACTCACTCTTCTTATCTACGTCTTCTACAAACTATGGCAACAGAAACTTTCCATGGAGGACGCTAAAAGTATCGATGCTGGAATGTTTCACCCTGCTTTCACTGGAATTAAAGCAAGTGGAGGAAAATCCAAAAGTTCAAAATCATCTGTTTCTGTAAAGGATTCTAACGACCGACAACATCTGCTTGGTGAAACTCAACAATATTCCTGTATGTTGATGATTGATTTTAGGATAAATTTAAAAAATTTAATTGATCCTCTATTGATTCCGTCTTTGTTAATTGCAGATGATCCACAAAAATCTGGCATTCCAGACCAACTTCTGTTGGAATTATCCCAAGGTCTCGCTGTCGACAATCGCTGGAAGCACGTTGGTACTAAGCTCGGGTTCAATGAAGAATCTCTTCAGACCTTCGAGAAGCCAAAGATTTCTGAGGAATCTGGAGATGCTATATCTGTAGTGAAACGTATGCTCACCTCGTGGTATTCTTCTAGAATTTGTACTGATCCCACACCTCTTAATTCCCTCCTGGTTGTCCTGGAAAGTTCTCATGGAACTAGCAAACTCGCCCGACATTTGAAAGAGTATTTGAAATCGTCTTGTGCAATAAACTCCTCGACGAATAGCTGCCCAATTTCATACAACCAGTGATTCCTTTGTGAAGATCTGAGTCCCCCCAATCATCATCATCATCAAATGCCGTGCCTTTCTTATTAACACCCGAACTAACCAACCCAGATGTGTCGGATCTCAGACTGACAGTTATATCTCTTTGACAATTTGAATCTCCTTTTTCTCCCCCCACCCTCCCCC